TGGTATCGTCATCAACGTTCAGGAAGAGGAGAGGAGCAACATCACCTTAGTGCCTTCGTTGAATGTCGTCGAAGAGAACAGAAGAAGAGGAATACCGAAGAACGTGGTTGGGCTTCGTTGACCGTCGTTGAGGAAGAGAAGAATATGAGCGAGACTGGGCTGGCTTCAGTATTTCTGGGCTTCTCTCACGAAGACATAAATGAAAATGAAAAGGGTTTGGGAAAACAAACAGGCTATTTCTCACTGCACCTCCAAAGTTTCTTCCTGCACCATCCAAACGGGTTCGCACCTACTTGGCAGTTATGTTGGATCGGACTGCAACGTGTTCGCGGATTCAAGAGTGTTTCATCTATACTTCCAACATCTCACTCATCCTGCGTTTTCAAAATTTTTATTTTTAACCTTATAACATTTTACACCTCCAATTTTTTAAAAAATTTATTTTTAACTTTCTTCTCTTTCTAAATAAAGACATTTTAATAAATATTTTTTTATTTTCTTTTCTTTCTTATTAAAGACATTCTACACCACCTTAATATAATAATTTTAATTTAATTTAAAATTTAAATATTATTTAATATAATTTTATATTTTAATAATTATTAAAATATGATTTATATTATAATAATAGTTATATTAAAAAATAAAAATAAAATAAAAATAAAAATAAAATAATAATAATAACAATATAAAATTTGATTTAAAATATTCAAATATATTAAATTATCTTAAAATATTAAAATAAATTAAACAATCATTAAATTGTAAATAAAAACAAAAATTTTCAAAAACTTGTTATCGAAAATCAGTTTTATTTTTTATTTAAAATTTAATCAATATTTAATTACTTAAAAATTATAGCATTATTTATTATATTTTTATATTTTAATAATTATTAAAATATGATTTATATTTTTATAATAGTTTTATTAAAAAATAATAATAACTAAAATAAAAGTAAAAATAATGAAAATAAAAATAATATTAAAAATCACATATTTAATATATTTAATATATTAAATTATATTAAAATATTAAACTAAATTAAATAATTATTAAAATTTAAATAAAAATCAAAATTTTAGAAAAATTTATTCATCGGATATCCATATCCGATTATAAACGGTAACGTTTCTAAAATTTTGTTTTTTATTTAAATTTTAATAATTATTTAATTTAATTTAATATTTTGATATAATTTAATATATTTAAATATATTAAATGTGATTTTTAATATTATTTTTATTTTCATTATTTTTACTCTTATTTTAGTTATTATTATTTTTATTTTGTAATAAAACTATTATAAAAATATAAATTATATTTTGATAAATATTAAAATATAAAAATATAATAAATAATGCTATAATTTTTAATTAAATTAAATATTGATTAAATTTTAAATTAAAAACAAAACTGACAAGTTTTTGAATTTTTTTATTTATTTATAATTTAATGATTGTTTAATTTATTTTAATATTTTAATATAATTTAATATATTTAAATATTTTAAGTCAAATTTTATATTATTAATATTATTATTTTGTTTTTATTTTTATTTTAATTATTATTAAAATATAAAATTATATTAAATAATATTTAAATTTTAAATTAAATTAAAATTATTATTAAGGTGGTGTAGAATGTCTTTGATAAGAAAGAGAAGAAAGTTAAAAGTCAAATTTTTAAAAGAGTCAAAGATGTCAAAAGATTAAAAATGAAATTTTTAAAAATATAAAATAAAATGTTGAAAGTGTATAATAAATGGATTCGATCACCAATACATTATATTTAGGTCGGGGTGATCACCAATACATTATATTTAGGTCGGGGTGACGCAGCCCGTGCGACCAGACCCGTTTGACATCCCTAATAATACCCAATTTTACTCACAGTTCTAGATTTACATGTTATGTTTATCTTAGGAAAAAAAAATCTATATATTGATTATCTTAAAAAACAAACAGACAATCTTTTTAAAGCAAAATTATATTTGTTCAAACATTACTTTTCTTTCTTTATTCTTCTACTTCTCAGAAGTTATTTCACCCAACATTAAAATAGACTCACATTTTATTTCCTTTATTTTTTAACAGATAGATGGAATAGATGATAGCAGCAAACAAATTTTCACAATGCATCGAACAAAAATATTAGACACTCATCAAAATCACCTTCACCCTAAAATCAATTTCTACCCCAATTTCATCATTAAAACCCTAAATTAGAGTTCCTACACGGAGAGGCGGGACACATGGACGCACCTGAGTGAGATATTCACGGACGAAGGAGATGCACCTTGGCGCCATGCGCAGAGATGTTCACGAAGGTCACACTATTGGGGAGAGACACACGCACTTTTTTTTTTTTTTACGAAATTGAAAAGTGAAATGTAGAATGGTAGAAGTGAAAAGTGAAAAATAGGAGGAAAGTTTTTCTTTTTTTACGAAAGTGTGTAAGAAAACTTATAATTTTCTTTTGGGTAATATAATGTTAGGTGTAAATATATAAGGCAACATTTTTTTTTGATTTGGCCACATATTTTGAAAGCAACATTTAAAAAAAATGTTGTGTTTGACAATTTTTAAACACCCTTATAAGAGTGTTTACAAGTTGTGATGTCTAAAGTAAAAAATGGTATAATGTGATAATAAGGAAAATAATTATTTGTGGATTGGACATCTATTAGAGAATAAAAAAGATGGAAATTCAGCAAATCATTCTTTATTAACTTGTTTAAAATTATATAAAAGGTTTTGAAATTTGCATACTTGTTCATTGGTATAGTCTCTCTCTAACAATCATGCTTGATGACCTCAAAGTAGGAACTTAATTTAATATATGAAGAAAAAGACATGACAAAGCTATGTATGTAACAATTATAACACATTACTGAACATAAAGAATATACTCCTATATTTCGCCCTGCTCCCTAACAACTGCCAGTTTTTCAAACACTAAACATCCTTCCTTCCCCCCAAATCTCCTAATAAGCGCTTTCGTCAACTGCTCCCAAGTAGGATCTTGGTTTTCTTCTTCCAAAACCGAAACCAATGATTCGCTCTTCCTTCCATACTTATGAAAGCTAATATGATTTTCTCTCTAAATGTAACCTCCTGAACTTCCGAGAAATTTTCAGCCCTTTGTTATCCATCCCCGCTGATTCCCCTTTTTTTTCTTCCTATGATTCTTCGTCAGTCTCATCCCTTTTTCCCACTCTATTTCCATTTCCAGATCCTCTACTTCCTTAAGAATCTCTGCCCAAAATTTTCATTATTCACATCAATTTCTCCATCATTACCCTGAGTCTTTGATAGTTGGCTCTAGATTCCTCTCTCGTCTCCTCCATTGTCATCTCTAACATGCTCATTCTACCCTCCATGACTCTTTCTCGGTGTTTTTAGATCCAGCAGTTTGGACCTATTTGTTAGGTTTCTTAGTGTCAAGAAACCTGGATACTATCTTAGAATAAAGAATCACTACATATTTATGAATCCTCACAGTGAGGAAACAATTTTATTGAATAGAAATACACTGAAAGCAATCAACAGTAATCAAGGGAAAACATTCCCTTCTACACAAGACAGTCCCTGTTTAGAAATAAAACACTCAATCCCACCAAAATACATCCCCACCTCCTTAAAAGACAAACAAAACATAACTAACAAAAAAAAAACTGTCAACAGCCAAAGAAAAGCTAAACCTAATTGCTATGAAACTCCTAACTACCCCTAACCACTTACTAACTTCTATGTTTTATTTTTCCTAACTTAAACCTTCAAAGACCTGTCAAAACATGTCCGAATTGAAAATGCTAAAAGAGTTTCAAGGCCATTGCTAGTGAAACTAATAACAGTAGTAGCATATGGAGGTGGTATAACATTGAGCTGATTTTTTTTATAAGAAGAAATCTTAAGTACGTACAACAACAAAAATCAAAAGTAAGATAAATATTTCAAGTTTTAGAATGTGGTTGGATTTAGTTTTTTCTGTCTGTCCTACAACTATAGCTACCTGCATCCATTCACACTTACTGTAGTTTAATTAGCTCTTTCTGGATTTGATAAAGTTCAAACAATTCTTTTAATGACATGAATATTGAATTAGTCCAAATTCAAGTTCCTTAACATAAGCTCTGCCAAAAAGAAGATAATGTAATACGCTGGAACATTTCATAGAAATGGTTTTAATGCTAGTCTTAGTCTTTTAGTAGATATTATTTTTAGGTGCAGTTATTTGTTACACTATCCTATCCATGCAAAGCTGAAGGAGGATTTGGAATCCATATTTGTGTGTGGATTATGGATTGTATAATACTCCCGACCCAATGGATAATTTACACTTTTCCTACGAAGAAACCATGAGTGGAGGAACTAAAATCCCGTGTTTTATTTGATTATTTTCCTGTTACTTATTTTAATTTACGCTCTGATTCTGAAAACCTTTTGCAATTTTTATACACAAATAATGAAAATAATAATAATAGCAACAAAATCACCATAAAGTGGGGCTTAAACAGTTTAACTTAAACAATTGCCAGTAAAAAAATTATCAGATAACCAGTTAATTAAATATCATTTAAAATTACTTTTAAAAGTAATTATAAAATCAAAGACAGTACAATTCACAATTAGTGAACAAAAAAGAAGGTTTATAATTTTAACACATTCTATTTAAATTCTTACAAATTCTAGATAAATGATAGAGTATCATTTTTATAAAAATACTTGAATAAATGTCCATTGGATATTAACTTCCGTAGCGAAAATATGCAACTGGCATAGTAAAAAGCATACAAGATTTATAAATTGTGCTTATAATATTTTTTATAATTACTTCTAAAATGGTATTAGTGTAGCCAATAACCCTAGTCATTTGATGAATTGCATCATAATCCGGATTTTGTTGTTTAAACAATTTCCTCTTTGCTCTTCGAACCCCTTTTCACAAGGACAAATTATCTATCTGAAATGATTTCTTTGACAAAAACAGCAGAAACATATAACCGAAAAAACAGAACTTCATAAATTAGATGTTCAAGAACAAAGTAAGAGGTTTTCATAGTAATTTCAAAACAGCTACATTTACACTAAGACATTACTTTTAAAGTTAATTACGAAACGCAATCAACTTGCCTCTTGTTGAAATGATGCTTGTATAGTGTAACCATCATCCCTTAACACGCTTCGCCTTCCTCTTGGTCTCCAAGAGTGAAGCAAGAACGGCACATTTTTTCTGGATTTCTTTATATTCCTCCTCCAAGTCCACAACCTATATTACATCAGCAACACTAACAATTAAAACACAACGACTAATTAGAACACAATAATCAAACTTTGTAATCTGTGACTACTATTACCATCTTTTTTAGTTGTGTCTCCTTTAGCCTGTACTCCTCACACCTGCAGAGAAGGGCTTTAGTGAAATTCTATTCGACAATAAAATGAGTAAACAAGAAGCCCAGGCACACCAAGGTATACATACACACCAAAGTGATTGCCATGTTAACCTTGCATTTGCAAAATTTTTGAAAAAGTACATATGCAATGTCACAGGTATTAATAATTAATTATTTGGAGAGTACATATTATACTAACTTTAAAATATCGTGATGAAGTAGAAAATAATGAATTAGTGGGAAATTTCCGGTATAAGATTGTAGGATATAAATATATGATAAGAACCATGGAAGAACCAAACTACAAAAGCTAACTATTGTTGTGGGACAGTACAAGGCATCATACACCCAATACTAGAATCGCAGTCTTCCAGTGTATGACTCCAAGTTCCATACATGCATTTAGATCCTAACATAATACCAGCGGGCTAGTTGTGACCTAGACGCTATAAATTGCAACATTGACGTCACCACCAGCGCTGCTTTTTTGCAACTGAGACATGGTGGAAAGCTGTAATAACAATTGAAAAAAAAACTTGAGAGATCCACACCACAAGATAGCTATTGTAGTTGGATAGCCCAAGATTTACACACCAACAAGTAGAATCCCATACTTTCAATGTCGGACCAAGTCCCATACCCTACAAATGGATCCTAACATTATCTAACCCAACAAAGTATTAATTCTTTTATTGCCAGATTATGAAATTAGGAAATGTAAACCATTGCCAATCCTAACCCACAAACATACAAAATGATAGAAGAGAATAATACATGTAGGGTAGTTAAGACTACATCCCAAAACGGAAAGTATAGAGATATAATAGAGCCAAGCAACTCAAAATTACACATTCTTGTCACAGTAGGTGATGTAACAGAAGTAAAAATGCGTTTGGTTGATGTACAACAAACGGATAAGAGAAAATGGTTTGATCAAGCAGTACATAGAAGGAACAAGTATAGCCATTCAAAAAGTATAACCAAGGATGAAAATGACAATTTTTTATTGTCTTCATCCTTGAAGACAATTTAAAAAAAAAAAATTCACCTCTCAAAAAGTTTTATGTTTTCTGCACAGATTTCATCAACAGATACAGACTGCAGAGTTCCCACCATTTTACCCTGTGAGAAAAAATACATGTTCGTGAACAACAAAATCTTGCATACTTGCAAATAAATAAAATAGAAAAAAAAATATTATTCAATGGGTGCATATAAACAAATGGTAGTTTTTGACAGAAATCCTTAATTTTCAATCAATTATTTTATAGATTTATGTCTTGATTTCATATTGTAATAAATCTTTTCAGAATAAGATTTGTATAAAATCTTAATCATGATCAGATCATAGGTAATGTTATTTATTGATTCCTGATTTTCTACCACATTGTAGTAAAATGGTCTCCTCTATGGAAATAACACTGTCCACCATATAAATTAGTGACAGTATTATTAAAACATAATTAGAGAAATAAAATATATTCTTCTCCATTCCAATATGGTATCAAAGCTTTGACTCTAAACCTTGCTTTCTACCGTTGTGAAAAAGGCAAAGATCAGTATCGATTAATATCCTTCAAATGTAATGTCTTTGGTGGTAACTCTAAACCAATCAAGACCCAAAGGACTTCTAATAGAGAGAAAATACATTCCAAACCACCACTGAAGATACCAAATTGTCAACATCTATGAATGGGACAACTCATTTCACAATGGAACATTGCCGATTCTTGCAAGTTGCACTACTATCCCAAGATATAGGCAGGAGAGCCTAATCATAAATGAAAAGTTTGATTCGTAGTGAAACAATTGTTGTTGAAGGGAAGATTGTTACAGGATGCAAAAAACTGTCCCACGGCATAGGCCAAGCGAGCCAACTTACAATTGAATTGTGGTACTTAGACTGTTTACACTCTTTAGTAGAAAGAGTTGCACTTTAACTATCAACTATAACTTTTAGTCTAGTGATAAACATTTGATCCTGTTAGATGTTAAGATGTGTGTTTATGTTAATTGGGCTCAGCCCATTCTGTATTAAGGGCCTTGGCCCATATCTTACATTATAAATAAACTACCCTGTGTATATAAATGATACAAGGGAGATTTCTCCCAATCTTCTCCATTATTCACATGATATCTAGAGCTTAGTATTAGTTCCATCTCCACGGTCTTCGGCACACATTACCATCAGAGTTCCAGAATCGACCGATGACCACACCATCGGAATCGTCTCGGCCGGGCGACCACCGTGGTGCAAAGATCGCGGCGAACGAACCACCCATGCGCTGCCGCAACAGTTGCCGGTGCATCGCCGGATATTTCCGCTGTCGACCAGGACTGTCGTGATCGCCCTCTTTCTGGATCTATGGTCGTTGCACAATCGGAGCACTTTGGATTTTTAGGATTTCTCTCTCTCCATGGCGTCTTCCTTGTCTACAAACACCCCTGTTGGTAGCTCATCATCTGATCCCTCAATATACACCAATTATGTGAATGTACACTTGTCCATTGACAAGTTAAATGGCACAAATTATGGAACATGGGCGTCCGACATCAAACTTTGGTTGAAGAATCAGAGGTACGTAGATCACCTTACTCAAAATGTGACTACTGCTACCATAGATGACACTTCCCGCTGGATGAAAATTGATGCCCAGTTATGCATTGTTATAAAGTCCACCATTCACTCCTCACTGAAACAAATGTTTCGATCACTGACACTCAACGTCTTTATGGAGTTTGTCAGGACCTATTCACTGTTATTGGTCCATGCAGTCCTGGTCCCATGGCAGAATATTTGGGTAAAGTTCATGCCCTCCTTCATGATTTTAATGAGCTATTACCTCCTGCTTCCACTCCTGCTGAAGAATTGGAACAATGGTCAAAGTTCTTCATGTTGTTGGCATTATACGGACTCTCTGATGATTTCTCTCATGTCCATGATCAGATTTTGGATTCTCCTGTCATACCCAACTTTACTTCTACTTGTTCTGCTCTTTTGCGTATGCCGAGCAAACCAGTCACTGAGACATCTCCTCATGATTCCTCAGTTATAGCTGCCCAACGTGATGATCGAAGTCGGTCTCGCAAGCCAGGTAAAGGACGTCCAAAATGTGACTACTGTGGCAAATTATGCCGTGGTATATACATCTCGAGCGTGAGATTAGACATTTTTAATGGGTGGTCCGATAGTGGCCCGATAGTGGGTGGAACAATATTCACAGCAAACAACAAATATCGCTAGGATAGGCTCTAACCATGGCTCTGATACCATGTGAATAATGGAGAAGATTGGGAGAAATCTCCCTTGTGTTTCTTGCATACACATAGGATAGTTTATTTATAATGTAAGATATGGGCCAAGGCCCTTAATACATAATGGGTTGAGCCCAATTAACATAAACACACATCTTAACATCTAACATATGCTAACATTTTTGCTTTCATTTGATCCAACAAAGAAGTTTGTTTATTCGTTTTTGTTTCAAAAGAGTCATCATAAAAGTTGGATTCTGCACTGTCTCCACAACTTTTTTAACTTATAGATCACTTTTAAATCAGAAACTGATCGTATTTAAGCAAATGAAAATGAAAACAAGTGCTATCCAAGTCGTTACTGTGAAGAAACAATGGTACTTGATACATAATCTTTTGATATCATTTACTAAAGCAAAAAAATATTACAAAATTATGGATGCAATGATCAGAACTTGCATCACATAGAGTTCGAGGAACCTGAAGTTAATAATTTCAAGAACAATACAACCTGCTCATTCAAATAATAAATTTGTTTGTGAATCTCATAAAGATGATGACTCCATCCTTCTCATTACTATTAGAAAAGACACAAGGACATGTAGCAAACATCCTTATTCCAATAACATTTTATATGGCTTATCTTAAAAGAGGAAAACTCTTCCAAAAAATCAAATTTGGGATTGGTCTTTGTAGAAATGGTAAAGGGGAAAAAAATGGTAGGGAACATAGGGGTGTTCGTAATCAAGTACAACTCAGAAAGAAAACTTGGATGACAAAAGGTTACACCGAATCTTATGCATCGACTATTCAAAGATGTTTGTCCTTTTACCAAATCTCAAAATTTTAGTGTACTAATGTCTTTAGATACCAATATTGAAAGACACCAACTAGAAGTTATAAATGTATTTCTAAGTAGACAGAAGAGGAAGTTTCAAAGGAAAATAATGTTGGAGTATGAAATGAATATCTTTGATTCTTATCCTATTTTATTTTTGTTAGAATATTTACCCTATTTATCATTGTTAGAATATTTATCCTATTTATCATTGTTAGAGTATTTACCCTATTTATCATTATTGTATCATAACTACCCTATTTTGTATCTGAACTTTCTTATATTTAGAATGAGTGAGAGAGATCTTTCAAGCCCTCTAGAATTATTTTTACAGTTTCAATCTCAAGTTGGTATCAGAGCAGGTTATCTAAGTCTCTTCCTACTCTGTCTTTGTTGCCACCGGTGGTCGGTGGCCACTGCCACCGACGGCCTTAAAAATTTCATCTTTTCTGAAATACCTCAATGGGCAGTTTCGCCCTCCTAATAATATCAGATATTTCCAGTGTTCGGTTCGCTATTTTTCCGTTGTGAACCGCCGCTCTTCGCCGGCCAACCAACGTCACAGTTTCGACTAGTGACCAACGGATATGGATTGCCTCCTCGAGCAACGGCCAACCCCGTTGGTGTCGTGGCCTACTTCTCATCCACGCGCCACCAAGAGCGCTACATATGTCCGATGTTCACCGCAGCCACCATCATCCTTTTTTCCGGCAAAGACATGGGTTAGGTCTCAAGGAGTGCGACTCAACACTGTTTCATTATTGTCTGACATGCCAAATCAGGCTGAGTCCATATTTAGTCGTGGTTTCTGATTTGTAGTCATTTGGTTGGTATTTTTAAAGAGTCATAGATTTCTTGGTGAATGGACGTGAAGATGGGATGAGAAAAGTCTTCCCGACGAAGAAATATTAAAAAAAAAAAGTGCCTCTGTTCAGCATTGTATCTATGTTCCTTAGCCCTTTCCATTATGTGTGTTTAGCTTTGTATCGTCATTTATTTACAATCCAAGGGCAGTCGGTGGTTAACACCAAGGAATTTCAACACCAAAGTTATGGGTTGAAGGTTGCTCATAGCATGAGGGGAGTATATTTCTGGCAAGATTCAAAATCTTAGGCAACAATTTCACCAACCCTTTGTCAGATTTGTTTTTGGGTGCTTTGATGAATAAAGGAGACCATTATGATCTTCCACCTTCACGATTTTTCATCGGCATGTCGTCATTTCCGTCGCTCGCCGTGAGGGGGAGTATGCTTCCAGCCACTGCAGGCCCCATCAACCCATCAATCAGTGATAGCAATCCTTGTAGTTTTGTCGCTTTCAGCCACTGTAGGCCCCATCACCCCATCAGTCAGTGATGGCAGTCCCTGTAGTTTTGTCGCTTCCTGCCACTGCAAGCCCATCAGTAGTGATGGCAATCCCGGTAGTTTTGTCGCTTTTAACCACTACAGGCCCCATCCTTACTTGATGGCAATCCAGTCCCTACAGTTTGTTGTTGTTTACCACTGCTGGCCGTCATCCACTCTTGATGGAAATCTCCTTTGTCAAAGTCATCCTACTTGAAGTTTCATGGTGCTAGTTGAAGTTTCGTTATTGTCCACCACTGTCCAATCCATAAGCTGTTGTGAGTTGTTCGTTGACTTGTGTTTTTGCTATCTGCTGACCATTGTCATCTGGTTGCCACACACTCTTAAAGACATATCATATATCTCAGGGGAGTCTCTGGCTATGCTGGTTTGTGAGTCCAATTTGGTTTATAGACATTCTCTCCCGACGGTTTGAAGTACATGTGCATCTTGTTCGAAGCTAAAGTTACCACGTCTATTGTCTCATTCGAGACAAGTTGATTTTGTTGGATTGAGTTTATTTGTTTCAAGCTTGGTACATACAATTTGTATACTCCAACTTGGGGGAGTGTTAGAGTATTTACCCTATTTATCATTGTTAGAATATTTACTCTATTTATTATTGTTAGAATATTTATCCTATTTATCATTGATAGAGTATTTACCCTATTTATCATTATTATATCAGAACTACCCTATTTTGTATCTGAACTTTCTTATATATAGAATGAGAGTGAGAGGGATCTTTCACGCCCTCTAGAATTATTTTTATAGTTTCAATCTCAAGTATTTTAATATTGAATTTGCCACAAGTAACGTAAAAATTCCAAATGTTGGATGTAACTCTGCCCAAAGTTGGAGAAGTTAGAGTCAAGTCAGTAGTAATTTTGAAAGAATTATATGGGTCCACTCAAGGTCAACTTGCAAACATACTCATCAAAGGACTGAGCAACAATAATTTTGATAGAATTATATTCAAGCTGAAAATGGAAAACACTTATTCACCAGCTTGAGGGGAGTGTCAAAATGTATTTTAGGAAATTTTATATATTATTCCCATGTATTTAGTTTGTTATATTCTTTGTATCTTGTTATTATCACTAGAATAACAATCCCACAATTTTAGGGATTTGTTACGTAGAATAAACTGCTCATTCAATAAGCTCTTGTATATATATCCAATGTATGCAAAGGAGACAAATAATAAAAATATATTCTCTCTCCTAAATTTAATAAATGCTAATAGACAATAACTGTTATAAGCTTGGTTAAACACTTTTTTTTCTGATGGAAGGAGCAACCATATTCAAACAAGACTCACTTCCTCAGATATCATGCCAGTAAAGGAAGTTTGAGTTGAAATATTGCTATACTAATGGTTGGGTGACTGATATTTTAACAAAGCCTCTGTCAGTGATTTTATGTTTGCTAGTTACTGAGTTGTTAGCAAACTACTTCTAAATGTGCACTAAAAATACTGATGCCCTATATATGTGACTAACAAGTGAAGTGAGAAATAAAAATTTCTATCTAGTACCATATCTCTCTTCTTATTCTTTCTTCTTTTCTTCTCTGTTCTTGTGAGTAATCTCACTCATTCTATGTCTATATTCTAATAAAAACAAATAACAGGTATATATATCAACCCAAATACAGTAGCAAGTATGATTTCAGGCTGCATACATCAGACCAATACAATCTTAGGCAGATAATGTCAGCAACTTACAAGTTGCTCGTGACTTAAATCTTGCACGCCAGTCACATCAAGATCAACAATTGTTTGATTTAAACTCTGGGTGTTTCGATGCTCAGGTTTGTCAGAGGGCAATTCATTCTGTGGATTAGTTGAATGCTCAGCTGATTTTCGTATCTGGGCTTCTTTTACAACATTTTGTGATCTGAAATCTAGGGGCTGATATCCAATCAAGTGACAGTGGCCTTTCCTGTTTACTCCAGAAAAAACAAATTGAATAAATCAAATATTGTCAACACCATAATGTTGATATTTTGGAAAAGATGTATCATAAAGCTCTAATTAGCTTTTCATTTGAAATAAAAATTACTATTGATTGCATAAAAATAACACAGCAGAGGATAATGGTTCTTCCATCTAGTTACTATGATTCTTATTCTAGTAAGTTTTAAGTGCGTTTGTGCTTGAAACTTGCAGCCAATAAGTATAAACAAGGATCTACAACTGCAAATATAATATACTTTCATGGCCAACTTAAACCAGCACATTCTTTTAATGCATGGGGCCCGTTGTGAAGCAAAAGTAGCTAACCACAATTACAATGTGTATAGCTTCTGGCAACAGTTATTTACTTCCAAGGAAATTACAACTTAAACAAATAGTAAAACCTAAAGAACATTAACAGAAAATCAAAACTAAAGCATCAACTGCAATCATTTTGTTCAAAGAAAGCTATATTAGCTCGCTAGCTAACACGTGAACAATCACTAAATATATTACATATTAAAGAAGAAAAACCCATATATAAAAGAAAACTGTTCACAATAAACTATGCTATCGAGAGACAAACCAGTAATCCATTGTCATTTGTTTCAGCTTGTTTTCCAACCGAATGAACAGCACTGATCTCTCAAAATCCTGCTTGTCATGCGCTGGTTCTATAAAATTGGCTTCAAGAACTCCTAAATATGTGCCAGTAAATTAAAAAACCTGGGAATTTTGGATTAAGCACATGCAGAGATAACTCAACAGTGGAGAAGGAAAAAAACATACCAACAACACAGCTCCCTTTTGATGAACCATCGGAAACAACTTTCCAGAAGGGCTACACCACAAAAAAGTTAATCATGTCAGGATTAGAATTGAGACCAAATAATATATTCTCAAAGAAATTTCTATTGCAGTTGTACTGCTACCAATTGGCATTCTACATGTCAAATTAATTTTTTTAGAGTGGTGGAGTAGAGGAGATCAAAGAAATGAACACACGAAGTTTGCGACATGATTTCATGTTTTACATGATGACACTATATAAAACACTAGCCTTATTTCCATCTTTTTATTAATACTCAATCATATTGCATAATACTAACTAAAAAAGAAATACAAAAACTAATCCTAGCACAACATAAAATACTCTAAATTGTTATAAAATATAAGGGATATAATTACATTTATCTCCATTGAGGTTGGTGCTAAATCCCTTTATACCCTTTGATAGATATAAAAAATACAAAAAAGTAACAAAAGGGGATCCTTGCATTATTTCTTGAACTAAAAACCAACATAGACAAAGTCGTTCTGATTGCCAAATCCCAGCCCAGAAATCTGTTTTTTGCTACCGAAAAACCAGCCCCTCAAAAGATCACGTAATACTACCCTTATACTCCCTACTCTCTCTCCATAACGTAAAAGATTCCTACATTCCCTCCCCCTACCATGTAGGAAATTTTGTTGTCCAAAAAATCAGTGTGCATGTGCCTGTGGTCCCCATGAAATGGGTTTCCACTTCTTCCTCTCAAACATTTTGAATCTTCCTAATATGCCCTTCCAATTCTCTGTTCATATCAGCCTTCTTAACAAAAAGTTAAACCCACCTCCGTGCACATTCATTGCTTTGTTAAGTGTATGTGTTATTAGCACATAAACATAAGAAATATAGATGTAGTTATTTCAAAACAACAAATGTCAATGTATAGAATAAGAGTTTTGAAAAAAATTTCAGAAAAAAGAAAAATAGGTGGAAGTGTAATTAGTAGCACAACTCAAGGGCCAGAACTGAAGCAAATAGATATTGGGATGAAAAGGTGGAGCAGCAAAGTTTTGAAGGAAAGGACTCACTAGGGTGGATAGCCAACTTGGAAATTTTTTATTAAATGCAAACCAAATTGAACCAAAAATTGTCAGCTAGGTACTATGGTCCCTTTAAAGTGCTTCGATAGGTTAAGTAGTCTGTCCTAAAGAGTTGTCTTGGTTATTAGCAAAAATTATTTTGATATAGCCTTTTCCTTGTGAACTCTTGGTATTCTTGACGTAATTTTCTTCTATAAAACACATGGATCGGATAAGAGATAATCAACCTCATAAGCCCTTTTCATCATCTTTTCATTCTTAAGTGGTTTCTTTCTAAGGCTTGAAATCAAATATTAAAAGCAGGGCCACAACACATTATCCTGAAGATGTAACTCAGGGTATTAGGTTATGGAAGCGGAGCTACAGATGCAACTAGTGGGAAGAGCACAAGGACACAGAATCAGGAGCATCAAATAGAATTAATTCTGGCGGAGGGTCAGTCTTCAAAACTTACATCCCTTTAAATAGTCAATCATGGGAGAAACGTAGTAATAAATAAATAATGGGGTGTAAACCAGCATTAATAGATCTGTGACAGCACCAGAAACTGGTCCACTAATGTGGAACAGCAACACAATAGCAGAAATAGGGTTAAACCTTATGCCATATCAGGAGTGTCTCCAAAAAAGAGAGGAAGGTTGAAGCTTACAGTGTGATCTACCATTTAGATCTAATCAGAAATGCCAAGAAAAAAATTGTGGGTATCAATTTGAATACTATCCAACACTTTTCACATATTCAACCACTAAATAATCAAAGTTTATTCAGGAATAAAAGCTAAAATAGAAAATCAGATTCCATGCACAAGAAAATATTGAACGAGAATATAAAGAAAATGAATATACTTCAAAAGACAGCTGAAATAAACATTAAGTCAGATAAGGCATTTCAATCATTCATAACAAACCTTGATTAGGCGATTTTTGTGGTACACATTAAATCCATTAACCTTAATAGAAAGTGCCTCCTTTATAAATCCAATGGTTGTCTTTGTCTCTGCTGCGGCCTAAGACAATCCAAACTCATTAATTTGAAAATCTAAAAACTAAAATATCCTAGTCAAATACTCATGAGTGATAAAGATAACTGAAATGGTACTAGTTGGAAAACACTGATAATATCTTCTGATACTGATATGAAAAAGAAAATCAGAAGAACAAAGAAAAAGATACACCCAAGAAAATGAATAAAAAAAAAGGACAATGCAAGTCTTCAAGGGTCTATCCACCCAATAATCAAATCCCTTCACCCTTCTCTCTATCAATTTGCCAAACCATTATGCTCCACTCATGTACGAAACTGCGAATATTCTCCAAAATTCCTGTCTTACCCACCTTGAGAGATTGTGTTTCTTTTTGTTTGTCCTTCTCTCGCATACTATAGTATTAGGAGGCTTATAAAGCAAAAATTATGAAAACTATTATGAGGAAGAAGATTCAAATTTTAATAACATTAAAAGTTTTTTATTTAACTGTTGGAGCACAACAATCTCACAAACAGGCTTCATGTCAGGAAGACATCTAGTTCAAGTATATTTCTACTGTGAGGAATATGTAGCAAGTTTCATGGTGGTGCCATATTGCTTTAACCAATTTTGAATTCCTACTCCATATCATGGATCTTACCTCATTTGATGCAATGGCTAGCACAGGCCTATATGGAATTACTTTCGAATGTATCAAGTTATCTGCTATGTTGTACTGATCCACAGGTTTACCCCTTAGTATGATTTTGAAGTTAGAAAATTTTCTGAGGTACAACATCGAAACATATGCCTGAAACATTTGAAGTGTCAATCAGAATACACAACAAAAATAAGAAAGCAACACCAATAAATACAATTGAAGTCTCAAGTATTACCCGTAGAGAATAACGAATGCGGTAAGAAATATGAGACTGAAGCTGAACAGTTTTTTTGTTCAATTTTTTCTCAGCCCCATGGCTGGCCTCATCTCTCAGCATAATATCCTATGGAAAAGACCAAAGATGATTATAACTGCTACCAAACACATTGAAATTGATTATCATTTCATTAGAGAAAATATTGTATCTGGAAACATCAAGATTGAATTTGTTAACTCAAATGATCATTAGGTAGATATTTTCAGTAAGTCTTTACGAGAACCTATAATTAATTATATTTGTAACAAGTTTGGTATGTACGATTTATATGCATTGGCTTGAAAGGGAGTGTTAGATATTTATATTGTGTCTTATGTTATTTCACATATTTATATTTATTTTTGTTTGGGCTTAGCCCATATTTTCTTTATTATAAATACACTACCCTATATGTATTTTCTATACATGGAAGATTAACCCTAGATCTAGTTTTCACTATATTCAACAAGGTATCAAAACCCTATCCTAGCAAAATTTATTGTTTGTTGAGTCTATTGTAATGATTACGAGAACTTTAACCCTAATGTAATGATTACAAAGAGATCTCTAGTATCTTACACCAGCACACTTGTAATAATTACAATATCTTATTGTAGCTTATGAAAACATTTTCTCCTAACGCAATAGGGGATTTAGGTCTAATTTATCAGCTTACAACATAAGGTTCCCCCCACTTACATAGTACAATATAAATATCTATAAAACTATTGTGGAATCACAAAAAATTTTCTAATTCATATTGTCATAACATAATGTTGTCAAAATATGCCTTCATTACCTACTTTTGTCTTGGAACATATTTGTCCTACTCACACTTTGTAATTTCAACAAATACTCACCAACATTTATCTCAATATGTCCTCTACCAATAAAGAATATCTCAAAATGCATTTCCAAAACAAACCTGCAAATGAATAAAGTCATATAGCAGTGAAGATATACAACATACCTCCATATCATCATCAAAACTCAGTTCATATATCCCTTCATCATTCAACCACAAATTGTATATTAAAACTTTGGTTCCATGTGATCCTATATCATCGAACTGAAAAGTGTAAAATAAATTGGTCAATGAAAGGAGTCTACAATGCATAAACTTCTTCAAATGAAAGAAGAGTCATCAATGGCTCTGATAGGTTCCTAAATTGGGAACCTAATCAAGTACTCTCTTTCTCACCAAAAGACACAAGAAAGATAGGAAAAAACTGAATATTATTCACAGTAGTGTATCTGTACAGAAAGAATCCAGAGGCTTAACCTCTTCACAGGTCAAAACCTGTCAACAAACAATTCAACAAGTCCCCTTTTCCCAACTATCAGGCCTCTATTTATACTCCCTCTCCCGCCCACTTCTAACTGTCATAGGCAGTTAGGCTATTACAGCTAATTACCCTTCTTCCTTCTCTCATAGACTAACCATTTCTTCTTATTCCTATCAATACCCTCCCCTTGAAGACCAACCTTGTCCCCAAGGTTGAAATCGGGGTACTGCTCCCTGATAGTCATTTCGTCTTCCTAGGTTGCCCCTTCCGGCCCTCCTTCTTGCCATTCTACCAGCAGTTGTGGCACACTTTCCCCTTCTCCCTACAGTTGTCTTCTTCCTAAAATGTTCACTGGCCAGAATGAAGGCCCTTTTGTTTGCAGGTCCTGTGGCAATTCCTTCTCCACTCTTTGTTCTCCTATTGCCTTCTTCAATTGTGACACATGGAAGGTAGGGGGAATTCGTGCTGTCTCTGGCAACTGCAACTTACAAGCTGCCTCCCCACCCTCTGAATAACTTGGAACGGCCCAAAATATCTTGCTGCCAACTTTGGGTGAAGCCTAGTTGGCATCGAGGATTGTCTATGGGGCCATATCTTCAAATATACCCAATCCCCCACTTCCACATCTGCAGCCTTCCTCCTTTTATTAGCTTGTCGCACCATAAGATCTTGCGCGCGCTCAAGATGAAACTTCAATTGTTTCAAAGCTTCGTCCCTGGTTTGAAGCACTTGATTCACAGCCTCCACTAGAGATTCACCAGGAATGAATCTGTGCAAGGAGGGAGGTGCTCGCCCGTAGACAGCCTCAAAAGGGGTGCACCTTATAGCTCCTTGATAGCTTGTGTTGTACCAATATTCCGCCCATGGCAAAACAGTCATCCATCCTCTTGGCTGCTCATTTTCAACTGCGTCCCCTGACTCTTGAACAATTCTTTCCAGAATATACTTAGGAACAATGGGTCCCTGTTTGTCACGATGGATTGTGGAATCCCATGCAGCCTTACGATTTCTCTTATGAAGACTTCAGCCACCGTTCTTGCCGAGTAGGGATGCTTGAGCGGTAAGAAATGTGCATATTTGCTCAAGCGATCCACCACCACCAGAATTACATCATACTCCTGGGATCTGGGCAAACGAACTATGAAATCCATGCTTAGCTCTTCCCACACTGCATTCGGAACAAGCAATGGTTGTAATAATCCCTAAGGTGAGGATGTTAGGTACTTGTGTTGCTGGCACACAAGACATTTAGCCACAAATTCCGTCACATCTTTTTTCATTCCGACCCAATACAATGATTGGGCTATCCTCCTGTACGTCCTCTATACTCCAGAATGGCCCCCCGCTTGCGTTACGTGAAACTCCGCCATTAGCTTGGGAAGCCATGAAGACTTCGCTGACATTACCATCCTGCCTTTGTAGTGCAGCCTCTCGTGTTCCAGTGTGTAGGCAGGGTAGGAGTTTGGGTCCTTTTTAATTTCTTCTATCACTTTCTGCAGCCCCTCATCCTCCTCAACTTCCTTCGTTATTTCTTCAAAGTCTTGCCAGTAGGGCCTGGCCACCACACACAATTCCCTTTCCTCCCCGTTTTCACCCTCATCCCTCCTTGACAACGCATCAGCAACTTTGTTAGCAGTCCCCGTCTTGTACACGATCTCAAAATCGTATCCCAACAGCTTGGCTATCCAATTTTGCTGATTATGAGTCGTGATTCGTTGTTCCAGCAGGTATCGTAGGCTCTTCTGATCAGTGTGGACTACAAACTTCTGCCCCAACAGATAGGGCCTCCAATGCTGTATGGCTAATACGAGAGCCATCAGCTCTGTCTCGTAAATAGACTTGTTTAGTGTTCCTTCGGATAAAGCCTTACTGAAAAAGGCTATGGGTTTCTTTCCTTGCATCAAAACTGCACCCACGCCTCTGCCCGACGCGTCACATTCAATGTGGAAGGGTTGCTAAAAGTCAGGTAAAGACAGCACTAGGGCCGTCGTAATGGCTCTCTTCAAAGTTTGCCATGCCTCGTCTACCATCTCATTCCAGGCCAATCCCCCCATCTTCAGCAGTTCCGTTAAAGGTCTGGCAATTTTTCCATAATCCTTTATGAACCCCCGATAGTACCCTGACAATCCCAAGAATCCCTTTAAGCTCTTCACCAATTTTGGTCTCTCCCACTCCACGACGACCTTTATCTTCTCATCATCCATCTCCACGCCTCTGTGCGAAATAATATGTCCCAAGTATTTAATTTAGGTTTGTCCGAACTCGCACTTTCTCCGGTTAGCCACCCAATGATCTCGTTCCAAGGTTGAAAGGACACTTCCGACATGCTCGAGATGTTCCCTCCAAGTTCGACTGTAGACTAAGATGTCATCAAAGAAAACCAGAACGAAATTTCGTAAATAGGGGTGGAAAAGGTTGTTCATCGCGCTCTGAAACGTCGCCGGCGTGTTGGTGAGCCCGAACATCACGAACTCATAGTGCCCCTGGTGCGTTCTGAACGCAGTCTTCTCTATATCCTTCTCACCCATGCGAATCTAGTGGTACCCCGCCTTCAAGTCCACCTTAGAGAAGTAGGAAGCCCCTCCCAACTCGTCCAGCAACTCCTCGATCATCGGTATGGGAAATTTGTCCGGCACCGTAGCTTGATTTAGTGCCCTGTAGTCTATGAAGAAGCGCCAGTTGTCGTCCTTCTTCTTCACCAGAATGACAGGACTCGAATAGGGGCTGTGGCTTGGTCAGATCACCCCTGATCGGAGCATCTCGGCGACCTGCTGTTCTGTTTCTCCTTTCAACACGTATGGTACCGGTAAGGCCTCACGTTGATGGGATCTACCCCCTCTTTTAGCGGTATATGATGCACCATCCCTCTGCTAGGTGGCAGCCCCGTAGGCTCTGAGAGCACCACGTCATGCTGGCCCAACAGCAACTCCATCTCTTGCGTTTGCTTGTCGGTGAGGCCCAAATAATTCTGAGTACTTTCCTTGGACTCCAGTGAGCCTAATTCCCACACCATATGCCAAGCTTCTACTTTATCCATTTTAAATAAGGCCCTGGGTCCCACCACTTTCCGTTCCAACGTGGGCCCCCTTCACTGTTATCTCCTTCTCTCCTTGTCGGTACACCATAGTCAACTTCCACCAATCAACCGTCACCTTTCCTAGTTTCTCCAATCACTCCACCCCAAGGATTACCTCCACTCCTCCGAGCTCGAACAGGTAAAATCGTTCGACAATTTCTGCATCTCCCAACTCCAAAGCCACCTGCTCACAGCAACCGCGGATTCTCTTCTTCTGTCCGTCCCCCAGGCTTACAATATAAGGTTGGGTCTCCACTACCGCCATCTCCAGTTCCTCCACCACCCTTCGACTGATAAAGTTGTGGCTCGTGCCACTGTCAATCAAAACCAACACCTCTCGTCGTCCTATTCTTCCCCGTATGCCGGCGGACAACGCCAATAGCTCCATCATGGCGATATTCATCTCGGTTCCCGCCTCGCCTTCAGTGTCTTCCTCCTCTTCCGCCAAGATTAGCATCCTTAAACCCCTCTCTGGGCAGCGATGGCTGGGGCTGAAAGGTCCGCCGCACCTGAAACATCTCCCCTCCTCTCTCCGTTTGACATACTCCGAGTATGGTAGATTGCGGACATTCCTCTCTCTCCCGTTGCTGTTGGCTCTCACGTTACTTCCCCCCTGGGTCATGTCTTTCTTTACAGACCCGATACTCTCCGTCGGCCCTCCTCGCACCGTTGTATCGCGATTTGATTCCGCAGGCAACACCGATCCTGTCGTTTTCCCCAGGGAAATTTATATTCTTGGACACCCATCCTCCTCCCGCCTTCAAAGTCGAACACAACTTTTCCACATCGCGCGCAACTCGCATGGCAGTCATTAGATTAGGTGGGTCATGCGGCCTGACATGATCGCCCACCTCTTCCCATAGGCCCGCCATGAAGTAACCCATAATTTGCTCCTCGGGTATCTTTGTTGTTTGCCCAACCAGTACTTCGAATTCGCGAATATACTCCTCCATCGACCCCGCCTGTTTTATGGTCGACAGCCTCTCATAAACCGTCCTTCTTGTTCCTCTCCCGAATCGTATTCCCAAAGCCCTCTTCAATCCATCCCAAGAATGGTTCTTGGTTTTCTCCCGCCAAAATCGGAACCAACTTCCGGCGTAACCCTCCATACTAATAAAAGCCAATTGTAGCTTCTCCTCTTCAGCCACCCTATCGAAAAACTTCTCCGCTCTGCCTATCCAAATCCATGGTTCCCCCCTTCAAACACAGGCAACTCGACCCGTTTCCTCCAATTGACCATTCCTTCTTGGTTACCTTCTCCTCTTCTTCCCCTTTCGCCGTCGGGTCCACCCCCATTATCATTCACCGACGATTGGCTCTCATCCTGATGTTGGCCCTTGTGATTGTGGTTACATTCTCCAAGCGCTTTCAAGATCGCTTGGATCTCCTATCGTATCGTCGTCGTGTCTGCCTTCGTCTCGACTATTGCAATCTCGACAGCCTCCAAGTGCCCTTCGAATGCCACCACTCTTCCCTCCATCATGCGCTAATGTCTCCTCTCCAAATGAGATCCGACAGGTCGGACCAATTGATAGGTTCCTAAATTGGGAACCTAATCAAGTACTCTCTTTCTCACCAAAAGACACAAAAGAGATAGGAAAAAACTGAATATTATTCACAGTAGTGTATCTGTACAAAAAGAATCCAGAGGCTTAACCCTCTTCACAAGTCAGAACCTGTCAACAAACAATTCAACAAGTCCCCTTTTCCCAACTAACAGGCCTCTATTTATACTCCCTCTCCTGCTCACTTCTAACTGTCATAGGCAGTTAGGCTATTACAGCTAATTACCCTTCTTCCTTCTCTCATACACTAACCATTTCTTCTTATTCGTATCAGGCTCTCTACAATACATTCAATTTATAATTGCAAACATAAAAAGGAAGTGGTTTCATGCTAGTGTTTTGGATAGTTGCTAGAATTGATGTCATCAAAATAGAAAAAGTTAAGAAAGTATGTAGACACAGAAATGGTAAGGGTAAAATTAATCCTCTACTTAAATTGAGAAAACAAAAATCTGGTTTTAACCTTTAACTTCAACTTCAACAAACCTCATGGGCATGCTCAAATACGAATTCCCCAACTAACACACTTAGTGCCAAAATTTTAGAACGTATAACAAAGTTGCACGTGGTTTTCGTAGAAACTTAAGTCTTGCAGAAATGTGCAATTTTAAATTGAAATTGTTGCATAAACTTGGAACATAATTAATAAGATTTTTGTGGCATGAAAATTTATTTGAGATAACATTAAACATTTCAGCTTCTATTTGGTAAAAAGAATACAATGTATTAAGGGGATTTGTTAGGTTCTTTATCCAAGAACCTAGGAAAAACTCACTCCTTACTCTTCAAACACACACTCCGACAAAGAAATGCTTCTTTTATTCACTTTCAATCAACAGAAAGAATACAGAGAGCTTAACCTCTCCCCCTCAGGACAATGACGCCTGATCAACAATTCAATAAGGCCAAAAAAAATCCCTCCCCCAAACTAATCACAACTATTTATACAAGTTCAAAAGCTTTTCCCCGCTCCCCCTAACTGCCCAAACAGTTAGACCAACTAACTATGTTTCTTTCTTCTCTCATAGACTAATAACGGTCTAACAGGATTCCTTGCCAGCTAAGATGCAGATTGGGAAGCTCATATAAACTATTTCTTTATTACAAAAAAAAAAANCGACAGCCTCTCATAAACCGTCCTTCTTGTTCCTCTCCCGAATCGTATTCCCAAAGCCCTCTTCAATCCATCCCAAGAATGGTTCTTGGTTTTCTCCCGCCAAAATCGGAACCAACTTCCGGCGTAACCCTCCATACTAATAAAAGCCAATTGTAGCTTCTCCTCTTCAGCCACCCTATCGAAAAACTTCTCCGCTCTGCCTATCCAAATCCATGGTTCCCCCCTTCAAACACAGGCAACTCGACCCGTTTCCTCCAATTGACCATTCCTTCTTGGTTACCTTCTCCTCTTCTTCCCCTTTCGCCGTCGGGTCCACCCCCATTATCATTCACCGACGATTGGCTCTCATCCTGATGTTGGCCCTTGTGATTGTGGTTACATTCTCCAAGCGCTTTCAAGATCGCTTGGATCTCCTATCGTATCGTCGTCGTGTCTGCCTTCGTCTCGACTATTGCAATCTCGACAGCCTCCAAGTGCCCTTCGAATGCCACCACTCTTCCCTCCATCATGCGCTAATGTCTCCTCTCCAAATGAGATCCGACAGGTCGGACCAATTGATAGGTTCCTAAATTGGGAACCTAATCAAGTACTCTCTTTCTCACCAAAAGACACAAAAGAGATAGGAAAAAACTGAATATTATTCACAGTAGTGTATCTGTACAAAAAGAATCCAGAGGCTTAACCCTCTTCACAAGTCAGAACCTGTCAACAAACAATTCAACAAGTCCCCTTTTCCCAACTAACAGGCCTCTATTTATACTCCCTCTCCTGCTCACTTCTAACTGTCATAGGCAGTTAGGCTATTACAGCTAATTACCCTTCTTCCTTCTCTCATACACTAACCATTTCTTCTTATTCGTATCAGGCTCTCTACAATACATTCAATTTATAATTGCAAACATAAAAAGGAAGTGGTTTCATGCTAGTGTTTTGGATAGTTGCTAGAATTGATGTCATCAAAATAGAAAAAGTTAAGAAAGTATGTAGACACAGAAATGGTAAGGGTAAAATTAATCCTCTACTTAAATTGAGAAAACAAAAATCTGGTTTTAACCTTTAACTTCAACTTCAACAAACCTCATGGGCATGCTCAAATACGAATTCCCCAACTAACACACTTAGTGCCAAAATTTTAGAACGTATAACAAAGTTGCACGTGGTTTTCGTAGAAACTTAAGTCTTGCAGAAATGTGCAATTTTAAATTGAAATTGTTGCATAAACTTGGAACATAATTAATAAGATTTTTGTGGCATGAAAATTTATTTGAGATAACATTAAACATTTCAGCTTCTATTTGGTAAAAAGAATACAATGTATTAAGGGGATTTGTTAGGTTCTTTATCCAAGAACCTAGGAAAAACTCACTCCTTACTCTTCAAACACACACTCCGACAAAGAAATGCTTCTTTTATTCACTTTCAATCAACAGAAAGAATACAGAGAGCTTAACCTCTCCCCCTCAGGACAATGACGCCTGATCAACAATTCAATAAGGCCAAAAAAAATCCCTCCCCCAAACTAATCACAACTATTTATACAAGTTCAAAAGCTTTTCCCCGCTCCCCCTAACTGCCCAAACAGTTAGACCAACTAACTATGTTTCTTTCTTCTCTCATAGACTAATAACGGTCTAACAGGATTCCTTGCCAGCTAAGATGCAGATTGGGAAGCTCATATAAACTATTTCTTTATTACAAAAAAAAAAAATGCATAGCGACTAATCAACAAAAAGAGTGCAGAAATTCCCAAGATATTCAAGAGATTTAGGACTCTCCCTAACACCCATACTAACTCCTCCTCTCGACCCCTCTTCCTATTTAGGCATCATGCCCTATTTCTCAACCAATTTACCCAACTAACTCACTAAACAAGTCTCTCAACTAACAGACCTATCAAAAGCTCTGTGATTCATGTTTTCGTTTTCTTAGCTGTTGTCTTTGACTATTCAATCCAAATGACATCGGACACTCCACTGTAATTTCTGCATCTTATGAAGCTTTCTCATCAGAAGAACAGTTGCACAGCAGTCAAGGGAGCTCAGAGATACACAATTAATGAGTTCATAGACAATGAATCTGAAAAAATTACCCAAGGATAAGCTATTTTCTACAGGCAAACAACCACTTGAAATATTACCCAAAATCAAAATAACAGTATACAAAAATATTTACTTCTAATCAATTTCCAAATAATAATTTTTTTTCAAGATACAATAAAATTGCAATGAACCTGAAGCATGAGCTCCTCCTTTGATGTGAACGGAGACCAGTCAAGAATTGTTTTCAAGTTCGCTGTCCATTCATCCTGTGAGCTATATACAATTGGTTCAGGCCAATGGCCAGATGTGTCAAAATCTATCTGCAAGGAAAAGGAAACTAAATAAAGTGAAAGAAGAAAACATTTTCTATTACGTATTTAAACATTAGAGGAAAGAAATATCACCATTGGAACAACTACGTCATCTTGCCCAGTTCTCCGCAAAAAGGTATAGGATAGTAGACCCACACTTTGTGATGCCCGGCTGAAAAATAAGAAGTTTTAGAAATTAAAAGAACACAATCTTATCCAAGATTAGAAGTTACAAATGTAACTCCAGAAAATGAAGAACTGTACATATGAAACCCAAAAGGACAAGGTCAGGATAGAAAATATAGTATCAACTCTGATGCACCAATATGTTCATCAGGCCAGCGTATGTGTTGAAGACATATCTAACACGGATACGTTTAGATACATTTAACATGTGTCTGCAGAGTTTCAGCTATTAAAAAAATATTATACGTAGAAAGAGTACTTAGAAGTCAGCACTGTTGCTTATCGGTGTGGAATTAATAATCCTGTTTTACGAATTCCCATTGCCTTTTTTATTTAAACTTTGATCCAATAGAAGACTTTATTACCCATGCTAAATAGGATAACTTGTCCCAAGATCCCACACTACCCCCTTATTCCTAAAATAGCCTCAGATATAACATTCCACTAATATATATATAGCAATCACAATTTTTTCTTAGTCATTTTTTCCTTTTAGTCTCATTTAAATATCATCTTTTTTATTTTTATATTATGCCAAACACTAAATATACATAAAATATACAATTTTTGTGATTTATTCCATTTTGGGATTTGATATTTGAGCACCAGATAATTGAAAAACAAGCAATGTGACAAGACATGTAGATAGAAACAACTCTCACTATTTACATATACATTTAGATAATATTTAATAATGATTTTAAATTTTAATATGGTTTTTAAAAAAGTTACAATACAATAATATTTATTTTATTATGTGAATCACGTATATGCATAGACATATATTTTAAATGTATTTGAACATATAGTATGCTATATTTTTCAGAGTCGAATCATTGTTCCGTATGAATTTTGCGTCATAGGGCGTCAAAAAGAATACTAAGTAAATGCAGATAACTATAACAGGCATTTCTCGTACATGACTTTGAATATATCAACACCTGGCATTTCTCTTACATCACTTCAAGTATATCAACATCATCTACGACCAATAGATATTCTAGTACACAAGATCCATCTTTGACAGATACTGAGATGGTGGAGGTCATGCCTTACATCCACGAAGCCAACTCTTGCACCAAATTCGGTCCCATCTAAAAATTATTTGCCTATTGTTTTTATGAAAGGTATGTTCCACCGGTAACCCTTCTCTCCACGTTATCATCTATTCATGCGTTAGCATAAAGATGAAGTCTAGAAGTTTTGCTGATGCCCAAAATTAAGTCTCAAGTGTTCAAGTTGCAAGAAGACCTTAATGAAGACTTATTTTATATTAAAACTTTTGTAATTCAGTAGTTTTATGTATAGGGTATTATTTATCCTTGATTACATGTATTGTCTGCTTAAAAGTTTTCCAAAAACTCATTTTGCCTTGGAATAATCAATTACCAACTTATGATAATCGATTATGACATACCTTAATCGATTATCACGTGCAACTATAAGAGTTTTCAAGCATGTTTTTGACCGTTGTGCATACATTAAATGCATAATCGATTACCTCATTTAGATAATCAATCATCATGCGTTAAATAGTTGACAACAAATTTTTGGAGGTGTCCTTGAGTGAGGTCTTTATAAAGATGTTTTAGACTCTCATTCTAACACACACACAACTACACTTGTGAAATTGAGTGAAGTGTGATCTAGGGTTTGTGTAACCCTTGTGCTTTTGCTTTGAGAACTTGGTGTTGGCATAGAGCGAGAACTTTCACCAGGAGTGTGATCAAGTGCTATTGTTGTTGCTGAGTTAAAACAAGTCATCCTTTGTGAAGATTCAAAGGAGGTGGTCATCCTTCGTGAAGCATTCAGAGGAGGTGTTCATCCCTTGTGGTTTTAAGGGGAAGTGAGTATCATCTCTTAGGGTAACAAGAGAAGTGTTTCTAAACCCTTAAACTTGTCTTTTTGTATTATTGTAATAGTTTATTAGTTTTGTGATAGTGGATGGTTAATCTCTGTTTGAGATTAGCAACTGGACATAGGATCCTTGGGATTTGAACCAGTATAAAATTACTTGTGCAAATCTCTCTTTTCCTACACTCTTTATTGTTGTTGATATTGTTAAGAAGTGGACTTTAAGCCTAACTCAACCCTACAAAATCGGCTTGTAAGGTGAGGTTTGCACCCACTTTATATACTATAAATTGGTCTTATCTTTAGTCAATGTGGGACTTCCAACACCTCCTTACACCGAGGTATGAGACTACACATTAATGGGTGGTCCGATAGTGAGTGGAACAACATGCCCAACAAACAACAAATATTGCTAGGATAGGCTCTAACCTGGCTCTGATACCATGTTAAGAAGTGGATTTTAAGCCTAACTCAATACCACAAAACCGGCTTGTAAGATGAGGTTTGCACCCACTTTACATACTATAAATTGGCCTTATCTCTAGTCAATGTGAGACTTCCAACATATATTATTTGTTAAGTAAATTGTTATAAAGGGAGAAGAAAAATTATTTTCAAAGCATAATAAATCAATACACCCCGTCATCTTGATATTTGTCCAAACATGTTAACCATTCCGCTGTACAGCTCTGACATCATGCTCTTAAATCTCCAAGTGAAGTTTTATCACACACAGTGTGATAGGATATAATGTGTATGATGGGAGGAAACAAATTAAAGATTAGTTGTTAATTGGGTTGTTAGGTTGAGTGAGACTTCCTTTATATAGCGGGGGGGTCTTCGTAGGCAGGGGATGTTTTAAAGAATTGTTGACAGGAACATTGGCATCCTGTATGAAGAGAACATTGTCCCTTGGAGGCATTCTTGTTGTTCTTGGTGCCTAGAATCAATAATACAGGATCTTTTCAATGAGTTTGGGTGTTTTGCAATGGTATTCTTGGATTCCTCTATCTAGTAACCTAACAAATTGGTTTGACTTGCCGGATCTAAATAAGGGAAAATAATGGAAGGAAGAATTAGCGTAGTAGAAAGGGCAATAGAGGAACTAAAAGAGGGTCATCAAGAACTCAAAGAGATGTTCAGAGATTTTATGAAAAACTCCAAGGGTTTAGACAATAATTTGGAGGGCAATAAAGGGTTGGTGAATGGGGACAGAAGGGGAAGGAAGGACGAGGCTGAGGAGGTTATGGAAGAAAGAGTAAATACTTTGGAGAAAGGGGCCAGCAAACAAGGAAGAGCCATGACGGAAAAAAAGACATTATGCAAGAAATAAGAGAAATCGTCCAAGAAAAGCAAGACATGTTGTAGGAACGAATAAATCGTGGAAGAGGCTCAAAAGGAAGTGAGAAATTTGTCATGAAAGGAAAGAAAGAGGGAAAATCGGGATAGGATGCTGAGAAAGATAGTTTGCAAAATAGCAAGAAAGGCAAGAAATTCTTTAAAGAAGGAGAGTACTTGGCTAACGATGAAGAGAAGAAGGAAGATAGATCTTCACAAAGTAGTAAACCAGATAAGGATGGAACAAAATTATTGAGCCCTAGGGTTAAAACAATGGGGTCATGGAGCAATCTAGTTGAGGCCCTAGTGTCCAAGGTTGCACCCACTATAGCAGTTACATATCCATATCCTGAATTTCCTAATGTTGTAACACCTGTAGATCTTGCTTCTATCAATGGCCACAAAGGAATTTCTGGTTTTCTTCCAGAGTTGTTTTTAACTAGCCATCTTGAATTACTCACAATGGAGAAAAGTATAGATGGTAGAAAAGAAACTTCAGTAATGGAAGCAGTGCAAACAATTTCATAGCGTACTGCGACACTTGTGCTTTATGGGGATGGCCAAGTAATTCGTGAAGATCTAGAAGTAGAAATGAGAAAACGAGAGTTGTCGCGAAGATATGCTACAGAATTTGAGAGACGTGCAAGAAGTCACTGCTTTTCCAAGTCTTTTGGTTTGAAGCAGTTATTATCATTAATGGAACAGAAGGAGTCATATCGACCACCACCCAAGCCTCTAGACCTGAATTGGCGGGCTGTAGCTAGTGGGTTCCCTTCTTATGATTACACATTGATGAAGATGAGCCATCGGATCATGCTTCACTGTTCCAACCTTGAGAACAAGGTTGTTCTGGAGCAGTGTTTAATGATAGGATATAATGTGTATGATAGGAGGAAACAAATTAAAAATTAGTTGTTAGTGGGTTGTGAGGTTGAGTGAGACTTCCTTTATATAGTGGGGGTCTTTGTAGGCAGGGGATTTTTTGGATGCTTTAGAGAATTGTTGCCAGGATCATTGGCATCCTGTGTGAAGGGAACATTGTCCCTTGGAGGCATTCTTGCTATTCTTGGTGCCTAGAATCAATAATACAGGATCTTTTCAGTGAGTTTGGATGTTTTGCAGTGGTGTTCTTGGATTCCTCTATCTAGTAACCTAACAAAGTGTCAATAAGCAATATATGTGCTCGTAAAAGAAGTGATTCATGGGAATAGGTTCCTCTTCCAATTTGCAAATCAATTGCTCAATGTCAATGGTTGTATACTCTTAAAACAAGACGCAATAGCAACATTGACTGCTATAAAACTCAACTGGTTGCAGGATGATCTAAGGCCAAGATTATAATGACCCTTTCTCTCCTATTTGCCAAAATGATATTTATTCGCTTTTTCTTTTCAATTGTAATTATTCTCAAATTAACAACAAAACTACATTTCTACATGGTGACTTTGATGAAGAAATCTACATAAAGCAACCTTCTACATTTATTGCTCAAGCAGAGTCATCTAATATGGGTATAGGTCCCCCTATAACCTCAAGCAGTCACCCTGTGCATATTATGGGTGTTTCTGGACTATGATCCAGAAGTTTGGAATGACCCTCAAAGACAAGTTGATCATTCCTTCTTCTATTGTCATTCTTCCTAAGAATGTATCTAACTCAATGTATATGTTGACGTCACCTAATCAAAGGTAGTGATAAGGAAGGTATTATACAACTAAAACAATATTTTGCTCAAAAGTTCCAAACAAAAGATCTTGAATACCTGAGTGTGTATATATATATTGGAAATACTTT